ACGAGTCAGGAAGCTCCCGGGAGGGCGCGGGGTCGGGCGCGGCCCGTTCCCGCCTCCCCGATCGGCGCCCCAGCCTGCCCGGCCCCTCGGGCTCAGGGAACCTGCTGTTTGGGCTTCAGCTCCGCTGTGTCTCTGCTCCCAGGGAGATGATGCTCCATCCTCTGGACTCTTCTAGGTGCTGGGGAGAGTTGTGACCCTTTTGGGGTAAGATGCAAGGACAGTCACTGCTGCGCTGTCACCGCAGAAAGTGGGAGCCCTCCAGGTGTGTGTCCGCAGGGGACCGCCGGACCAAAGGCAGTTGTGTCTTTGTGGGTCAGAAGTGGTCAGATACTACTTCATGTTCAGCCTTACACGTCTGCGTCCTGCAGAATCACGTGGCAGCTTCAGGCGTTTATGTGAGAAACGGGAAGCTGGCTGTCAGGTGGCACGAGGCTGTGCCCAGTGTGACCCCAGTGTCTGTCACTCCACGTGCTGGTTGTGCGAAGCCCGTCACAACGGACGCACCGCCTGTGCACAGCAGGGGTCCCGGGGGCGGGGGGCGCGACTGGCTCAGGAAGGACTAATGCTCTAAATCACACATTTTATAGTACTGGAAGTTTTTGAAACGAGCATCTATTTCATGTTTTTAAAACTTACTTTTTTAAAGTTACGTTTTGTAGTATTTTACTTTTTATACTTACTGTAAAATCACAAAAGCAATAAAGATTTTTAAAAAATAGACGTATCTGAGAAGTTTGCACCCGTGGGGAATGACGAAGAAAGAAAAGACAGGGTCCGTGGCTTTTAAAAATGTGACCCAAACTGTTCTGTTATCTTCACTGAAATACGGACACACTTTAGAAGGTGCCGGTTCTGTGCAGAATTTGAGAAGTCCTGCCTCAGGTCCCTTCTGTGTGACAGGGATGTGAACCTGACCCCACAGCCTTCAGGGAATGGCTGGCCCCTCTCTGCGGCCGATGCGCCTCTGACAGCCTCCTTGCAGTTCTGAGGGCAGCTCAGCAGGGCTGGTACCAGGACCCTCCCCACCTCCACGCGGGGCTCCTGCCCGGCCCTCAGGGCCCCTCGGGAGCTGATCTGTTAGGACTCTGGCCGTTCCCCTCCAGCGCCATCGGCTCCTGCACTGCGTCCCTCCCCACCCTTCTCACCTGCGGTGGGCGCGAGGCCCCGAGCTTGGGTGCTGGGGATCATTATGGATGGGAGGGGCCACCAGTCACGAGTTGCATCACCCAAACCCTCAGACCCCCAGGGGAGAGCAGGCAGCCGAACCTCTCTGCAAAATATGGGTTTATGGTCTGGTCTGTCCATTTTCAACAGCAGGGAAGAAGAATCTAGGCGCTGGGAGGGGAGGGTCTGGGACGTCTGTGGGTGTGGGATGGAGAAGGGGTCCTCCACTGCTGGGAGGCCCCGGTGCCCGGAACGGGCTTCCTAGGAGCAGCTGGTGGGGGACCTTCCGAGGCCTCCACATGCTGTGTGCTGGGCTCGCTCAGCCTGCAAGGCTGTGGTGGTCAGCACTCCTGTAGTCTTGGCCTTGCGGGTCAGAAGGAAGGCAGCTTGCGGTCAGCCCCTACTGGGAGCAGGGAGCAGAAAAGGATGTGACGGGGAGGGCGGGCAGAGGCCCCTCCAGCGGACAGTGGCTCGAGGAGGGAGCCAGGGGCCAGATGAGGCACCGTGGTCCCGAGAGGCCACTGTGGCTGAGGGTGTGAGCAAGAGGATGGGCTGGGTTGAGGGGGACCCAGACCCTGCTGCCAGCTGAGGCCAGGGAAGGGGTGGGTTTCAATCCCAAACACTCTGGGAAGACTGAAGAGATTTAGGGAGGGGCTGACCAACACTTAACCTGCCCACTGCAAAGAGAGCCTGTCTTCAGACTGCCCGGACCCCTGGGGACCTCTGCGCCTTGGACGCCCGTGGGGAGGTGTCTGCCCGCCCAGGGCCCTGGGCTTTGAGCAGCAGTGACCTGGGCGGGGAGCCGGCTGACACCCGAGGAAGCAGGAAGGCAGGCCCGCCGTGCGCTGAGTCAGGAACATGCAGGCCCTCCCGGGGGCTGACTCTTGGCAGCCTGGGCCTGCTGGGAGGCCCTTCTCCCCCCCACCCCGTGCTGCAGGCTCAGGCGAGGATGGAGCCAGCAGGGGGCGGGCGTCCCAGGCCTGGAGTTCAGGCGTCGCATTTTGGTAGGAATGCAACCAGGCACCTCTTCTGCAGGTGAGCCGCTTCAGGACGATGCCTCTCCGGGGGGGGTGGGGGTGGGGGGGTGGAGGGGGGACAGCATCTCCAGACCCGAGGCCTCTCGACCCACTCTTCTGAGCGCAGGATTCAGTCATTCCCGCAGAACCCCCGGCTGTAAACTATTCTCCCTGGCTGCCATAGAAATGCTTTACCAGCAACTGTCAAATTACTAAACAGCTTGTGGATCAATACGTCCCGAAGTCACGCAGAGCAGGGGAAGGGCACAGCGGCTGGTGGGACAAGGGTCATGTCGGAGTGAAGTGGCTGTGGGGAAAGGTGCCTCCAGGTGGGCACCGTGGCTGGGTCACGGAGAGCGGGACACTTCACAGGGCACTTCATTTTGCCCCCAGATGATGTTAGGTAAGACATTTCTGTGGGTCACAGGACACTGTAGGGGGTGAGCCTAGCTGCTGTCGTAACTAAACCAGAAACGTTTAGCTCAAACCCAGTAAGACTGCTGCTCACTCGTCAAAAGCCAGCACAGGCCTCCCGAGGTGCAGGCAGGTTTTCACCCTGTGCATCGCCTGGGGATCCAGGCTCCCTCCGGGATGACCGCCTAGTACCCAGCCTTCGTGTCCTCTGCCAGCAGCTGGTGACAGGAGGCAGCAGGCCACCATCCCTCCCCACAGCCCCCTGGTGAGAATGCGTCACAAGGGGCTCCTGGACACAACAGTGGCTGGAAGCGTCTCCGGCAGGGCAGCTGCGCCTGGCAACCCCGCACCCCGGCGCAGGGCACAGCCTCACTGGACGGCTGGCTTCCCTGCCATCCGGGAAGAGGGATGTGCGAACACCTGCCATCTGAGACTCCATGCTGGACACATGAGGAGGGGTGTGGCCCTTCCAGCCCACGCTCTGAGGGCTGTGCTCGGCCCTCACCTCTCCGCTGGGCGGTGGGTGCACGGGCTGAGCCAGCCTTATGAGTGTCAGACGAGACAGGATTTGTTTTTGGCACTTGGCTCCCAAACATTTTAGGAAGGAATACAACGCTAAGGAGATAAACTTCTTCGAAAACATTTTCAAAATATAGTTTCTTTCTTTTCCATATGTATTTTGCTGAATTTCCCAGGTGAACACAAGCTCCGCATACAGTAATAAAGGAGAGCTCTTTGAGAACCGCACTGATCAGTCAGGAGACTGATCAAATTTTGATTATGGAAAATAAACCTGCATATTATCAAAACTAAAGAGCGCCAGTGGGGTTTTCTTTACAAGACGTCTCTCAGGAGAGGGGGTGGCTCAAACCACCACCGCGTGTGCAGACGGAGAGAACACATCCCGCGGAAACAGCAGCTTTACAGGCGAGGGCCCTTCAGTTCGGGGTCTCCCCGCGGCTGGTGGCGGGGTCAGCCGCTCTGACCCAGTGCGCTCCCGAGGGGACACCGCGCGGCTGGACCAGGGCTGCGCCAGCCGCGCGCACGTGCGCGGGGACTCTACGTCTCTGCCTCGTCCCCATCGTCGTCGTCCTCTTTGGCCCTGAAGTGCATTTTCCTGAACTCGCGTCTGCTCATTGAAGGGCAGGTGGACGACGCCGGGGGGAGGTCCTTGGAGGGAAGAGGACACTCGCCTTAGGCACAGGTCACCCAGCAGCAGCGCCTGCCCCGCCTGCAGATGCGGGGCGCCCGACTGCCACTCCCCCCCGACCCCCGGAGTGCCCACCCCCGCCGACCGACCGGGAGCGAGGAGGGGCACTGGGTTAGAAACCGAAGCCAGCCCAGCAAGGGAGGGGCAGTGTCCCCTGAACCACAAGCCACATACACGCCGGCTACCCTGCAGGGAGGTCAGGTCCGGACACACCGGCCCACGTCGCCCACCCCTGCTGGCCAGGCGAGACCCCCGCTCACCATGGCAACCGTTCTCAGCTGGGGGCAGGCAGCGAATCAGTGTCGGTTTTGGTTTTGCCCTCTCCTCCCGGTCAGAACCCTATGGCGTTTGATCTGCACCGTGGCAGCATTCACGGCCATGCATGGGGGGGGACAGGCCCGAGCCTGGGGCCTGCTGAGGGTTGCCCCCCCGGGGCTGGGGGCATCGGCCTCACCTGCATGAGCTCCACGTTCCCGAAAAACCGGCTCACGGGCATGGGCTGGTTGCTGTCGTCGTCCAGGAGGGCGCTGTTGTCCAACTGCAGCGGCCCGGGGCCGGGCTCGGGCTCTGCCGCCCCAGCCCGCCTGGCGTAGCCGCCATCGGGGTCTTCTCCCGAGGGAGCACCAGGCCTTGGCAGGGACTGCCCGTCCTCAGTCTGGGTTGGGCAAGCGTCGCTCCCAGCCCGGCGGGGCCCTGCGGGGAGGCCCGCCGCCTCCGGCTGTGTGGAACTGCCGGCCTTCCTTCCCGGGAGCGGTGCGCTGTCCTTGACAAATGCCAGAGGCTCGTTTTCACAAGGGGTCCCAGGAGGCACTCTGGGCACAGCAGCACGGTCCCTCTGGGGGGCTAGTTTCTGTAACTCTGACTTCGCAAGATGACCTCTGTCATACTTGAACTTCTTGGAAGTCCGCCTGTCGGTGGCTCTGTGTGACGAGGAAGTCTGTCAAGAGAATAGGAGAGCAGACACACCAGATCATGGAGCAGCAGCAAGTGAAGCCTCAATCCTGGGGGCTGGTGTTCGCGCCACACCCGTGACTTCTAGGACGGGGTCATTCCAGTGCCTGCCACCACAGGGACAGAATCGAGACACACGATGCCATCCTGCACCTGCCGCCCCCGAGGGCTGTCGGGTGCCCGAGCAGACTCAGAAGCACGCGGCGCTGTATGAAGCCAGCCCTGGTGTCTGCTCACCTCTGCTGGAGCGGGAGCCGTGAAGGCAGGGTCTGTGCTTTGTGGCCGCAGCAGGCGCTCAGCCAGGGGCTGGTGTCAAACCAAGGCCAGCTGGACTGCCTGGGCCAGGGCTCGAGGGAGCAGATGGGCCTCACAGCAGCCTCGGGGTCCTGTCCCTCCCACCCAGCCTGCGGGGGGGCCCTCGGGGCACTGAGCCCACGGCCCTGAGGGGGGACCATGTGGATGGAGGGCGTGGCCACCTTCCCCTGGTCCGTTAGTGACGCTCAGTGCTTTTCTTTGGGGGGAGGGGGAGATTAGGTTTACTTATTAATTTATTTAACGGAGGCACTGGGGCTGAACCCAGGACCCCGCCCATGCTAAGCATGCGCCCTGCAAGTGCTGCCCTCCCCCCCGAGCCGTGCCCTCTCCCCGCAACGCTGTCTAACAAGACAGGTGCCGTGTGAAAGCAGACGCTCAGCCGAGTCCGTGTCTCCGCGCCGGCCAGGCTCACCTGACATGCCGTCCGGGCAGACGTGGTGACGCCGGCTTCCTGGGCCGAGGCCAAGCGGGCCGAGCAGCTCCGGGCTCGGAGGCGCGCTGAGAACCGCACTCCACCTGCGAGCTGGACCAGACCAGGAGGCTGGTCAGAAAGCGCCCTCGCGAGGACACAGAGGGTCCCCGAGTAGGGAAAACCTGATGTCAGTCCCTCCCATGCCCATGTCTTTGTCATCTCCGCAGACAGACAGACACCTGTGCCCGGAACGTGCATGGTCACACACAGCAGTCTGGGCTGAAGATGCGGGGTCCTGTCTCCACGGTCTGGGAAGACTGGGTGCCCCCCGGCCCCTCACCTGAGGCTTCCAGAGCCTCCACTTGTAAGTCAGCAGATGTTAAGTCAATCTGGGTGTTTGCATCATTGGTTGTTTGAGTTTTCTACGGCGTCCACGTTCTTGATAAAACGAGGAGAAGCACAACCCCCCCAGCTCCCCGTCAGATCACAGGGGAGCCGGTCCTAGTTCGGACTGCTTAAAGGCGCGGCTGCTGGGGGATGCACCCCGCATTCCCGCAACCCTCCGCCGCCACCTCTCTCAGAATGCAAAGGGAAGTCTAGCTAACAAGGTAATTAAATCAACGAAACTCAATCATCTTACTTAGGAATAATCTTAAGTTTTCCAAAAAGCACAAAGATGCTCAGGGAAATGGTGCAGAGCCTCGCTCCGATTCCCTGCAGCCAACGACCGGCACGTCTGTCACAACTAAGAGATTGGCACGGTGCCGCGCCATTCACGAGACTCGCCTGTCTCTGAATTTCACCAGCTTTTCCACAAATTCCTTTCTCCGTTCCAGGGTCGGTACCGCGGACACTTAGAAAACACTACACTTAAAGCTCAAGTGAGAAAGTGAAAATGAGAGAGGTGGGTGCTGGGGAAGAGGGTATAGCAGGCAGGGCCCGACAGCTGCTGTCACAACGGCCAGGACCAGGGATGCAGATGGGGCCGGATGAGGGCGAGCGCCCAACGGTGGGAAAAGTCAGAAAGCACACAAGCAGTCCCGAGATCTTTACAGCTGCTTCTCATCCACCCCCATCCCCTTTATCCCCGCCCACAGCCTGCAGCCCTCATGCCTCTGGAGGCCCCTGGAGGTGGCCGCTGGCTCCGAGAAACGTGACGGTTGGCAGAGAGCACTTTAAGGGGAGGTAAAGAAAAGCCAGTGACGTAAGGAAGGAGAGGGCAGCTTCCGCAGTGCGAACAAGGCGCTCCACCGACCCTCGCCTCAGTGACACTGGTGCAAAGTACAAGCACTCGCAATCTGCGGAAGTGGCCCTACGGGAGAGCAAAACGAAGGACAGTTACTCGAGAACACCTGAAAGACTGCGGTGACCCAGGTGTGAATGTGTAGTGTCTGAACTCCAGGGGCCGCGCTCAGCACACCGGAGGCCTGCCCAGCTCCCGGCTGGGGCCTTCCCCCGGGGAGCAGGATGGCTGCCTTTCTCATTCTGTCCTCACCCTACCTGCTGTGAGGCTGAAGTGCCCAGTAGGCGCAGCTGAGAGGAGGGGGCTCCCTTCTGCCGAGACCCCGCTCGTGGAGCCAGAGCACTAAGACCAGGACCGCAGCACCCTCGCCCCTCCTGGCGAGGTGGGCGCGCCTCAGGCTGCTGCCCACCACTTCGCTCCCGGCACCCAGCTCCTAGAGCAGGGCGTCACACAGAAAGGCCTGCCACTGTCCCCAGCCAGGAAGCCCTGGCACAGAGATTCTGCCCGGGAGAGAGGCAGGCATCAAAACCTAGAGCTCTCCATCTCTTCCTCCTGCACTGACAGCGGAGTGTGGAGAAGCTCGTGCCTGAGGGGTCCTCAAAGACAGCGGACGTTGTGATGAAAAGCAGCTGGAGGAGAATCGAGGTAACCTGTAAGCCGGCTAGTCTGCAGGAAGACAGGATCGACACAACATAGCAAGAGGGAGCCCTTCGAGGGTCAGAACAAG